ACCGGACTGTGTAGTCATCTAAGTCACAGCCTCTTAACTTGTTCACCAGTATGGTGTGGGATACCGTATCGAAGGCCTTCCTGAAGTCTAAGTAAACAACGTCAACCCCTACTCCTGCGTCCAGGTGTTTTGTAACCTGGTCATAAAAAGAGACTAGATTAGTCAGGCATGATCTACCTGCTATGAACCTGTGCTGGTTTCCCCTCAGCATAATTTTTCCTGCCGGGCTCTCGCAAATTCAAGTTCAAGGAATACTTTGCTTGTCTGTCTGCAAGAAAAAAAAGATCCACTTTTGTCCTTGACCTGGGATAAACTGGATCTTGTTGAATGAGTTAGTGCAGCTGTAATGTAACCAAAAATCCTCGGAGAAAAACCAATACAGCTAACAATATCATATTAGACTTCTCTCAATATCAGACAAAAGAGTGCTTAGGAAACCACTAGCAAATGTTTTTCATTAGATCTCCTCTTGCTCAATTATGCCACCATAGAATTCAACACCTTTTTTTCCAACAATGAAAAGATAAAATTTAGAACAGGGGTGGCCAACAAAGGTATGCAAAGGGTCCTGGTTTGGCCAGCACAGTATTGGATTTTATAGGGTGGTCCCAGCCAGTTGGTCAAAATTTAAACAGAAATCCCAGAATCGGAGGGACACAGGGTGCAGTTTGGTGGGGAGGTGAAACAGCATGGCGCACCTCCCCACCGGAATGCACCCATGCCACTGTCTACTGGCCTCTGCCACTGCCTGCAGCTGTGCTGCTGACTTTGAAGGTGGGGGCTACTGTCCCAGATTTCCTTATGTTCACCCCAGGCATGCAGCAGATCAGGAAAGGGACAGGGTGCATGGTGGCAGATTGGACTGGAAACATAGGGATAAAAGGAGAAGGCAGAGCAATGGACTGGGGAAGGGGACTGGAGTAAAACTCAGTTTCCACACCCCCCTCCCCTGATTTAGAGGACATGATTAAAACAGATACATAATTAAAATTAAATGGATGGTCATTTTTGACTAGAAGAGCATCCTGAATAAACAGTGACATATTTGTAATATCTATGGCTACATTTCTTATATTTATAAGATACTGGTTACAAGAGTACACAATTGTACCTATCATTAACAACAAAGATTAAGAAATCATTTGATCTATCACAATGCCATGTCTCTGGTGTTCTAAAATATATTTTTTCTTTTTTGTGGGGTCACATACAAAAGAACAATAAGAGAAGGGAATAAAATTAAAACAAGTCACTGAATAGCATCTGTGGGTTAAGATAGGGTGTTTAGGGATAAATCAATCAGTTCTTTCTGGGAAGGTTGGCAGTTTACATCTTTTTATGAGCATAAAACATTAGCAACAGATGGACTGATTTCATTCACAGTATTTCTGAAATGCTTTTATTCAGCAAAGGGACATCATATTTCACTGCAATGCACTCTAATAAGATAAGATGCTGGCTAATATGGTAACAATAGGAGATCAGATTAGGTGATCTCATGGGCACACCTAGTAAAATGAAATCAGTCATGAAGTGTAGCTGCATGTGAATGCTGGATATATTGTGTGCAGAGTTATCTGTATTAAAAAATAAAAGCTTCTCTCCCGCTTCCCTTCTTGAATTTACTCTTTTCATTACTTCTCCGGGAAAAGATATTCATTATTGATCAGCACACCCAAAATTACTGTGATGTGAAAATAAAAGAAATAACTCACTGAACCCATGAAAAGGTTCTAGGCAAGGGGAAATAAATAGAATCCATTTAGTAGAGGCAAGTAACTTCCACATGGGACTAGGCTGACATAGGTTCTTTTAAGTGTTTGTTAAAATATTGTTCTGAGGGAAGGTGCAGAGCTTAGGGTGAGAGAGGTTTTAGCTCACACTTGTGTAGAAAATGCTGTCTTCTCCAGACAACTCCAGGTTAGTGCTAATGGATTCTAGTTAAAAGGCCTTCACTCCTTACATGCAATACAAATCACTATGCAGCACTGCAAATTAGAAGTAAATTGGAAGATTTCCTCCATGTACAGGCTACAAAGAACAGCTCCAGTTTATTACTGTCATTTGAAACATAAAAAAAAATATTCTTCTAGAACTGTTGAGCATTAGGATAATCCCCAAAATGTTGCCAAATCTCAAAATACCTAAATCCCAGGATCCTGGATTCATGTGATTAGAGAATTTTAATTTTGGGAGTGGGTAGGGGGTCCATTTGTTTTTAAAAACAAAGTAAGGGTTCTGTACACAGAGAAGTAGAGTGCAAAACTAAGTTTGGGTATGAATTTACAGCATACTTGCTGCTCCACGCTGAGATGGCTTATGGATACCCTAAGGGCACAGTAAATGCAAAATTCCTTTCTCTATTTGTAGAGTGTTCACACAGGAAGTTAACTCAGAGTAACTAGCACAGTAAATTCATACCTGAGGTTACTACACAGTACCCTTCTTGTGCAAAGCATGACCAGAGCTTCCAGCTATCAAGGTTGCGGAGAAAATTCTGAAAATACGACCCCAGGGCAACCTAGAGACTCAGAAATCAGGACATATATATATATATATTACACACACACATTTTGGCAGGGGCAAGGTCTTACAATTTTTCAAAATGTGGGGTTGGTGGTACTACAGTCCTAGAAAATGAGCAGTGCCCAAACCACTGACGCAACAGAGCCTTGTTCAATTCTTCCTTTCCTTTGGGTCTCACTTGGTAGAGTAGGTGGGTGTCACTTCAGCTTCTGCTACCAGATGTCAGTGCACAGAGTGGAGCATGTCTAGCAGCACTAGGAGTGAGTAGGAGGGTCTCAGGCCTATTGTGACAAGAATGGCTTCCTAAAATAGCATAAATCATATGCACTTACTGGAGCCGCTGTTACTTTTCTAATCTGTCTACAACCACTACAGCCAAGGGATCTGCTTCTTCCCTTGCTATCCTGTTTTACTGCAGTGCCTGTCCATGTCTGTCACAGCATTTCATAGAATCATAGGGCACCTATACATGTGCCCGATACCTGCTCCAACGCATGCTAATTAGCCTGCGTTGGAGCAGACTCGATTAATTGAGTCTGCTTGAGCGTGTTAAGTAGCATGCTCCAGCAGCCTTGGTGTCTCATGTATTCAGTGTCCCTGTACTTTAAAATAACAGTGGGGGCACTTTAACTAAAGCTCATCTAATGACCTTTAGTTAAAGCACTCCTGCTGCTATTTTGAAGCACGGGATGCTGAATGCACAAGACTCAACAGGTACTTTAATTAGAGCAGCTCCTGAGAGACTAATTAAAGCATCCCTCCTCTCACACGTGTAAAGATTCCCATAGAGAAGAATGGCTGAGAGAGACTTCCAGAGGTCAATCTAGTCCAAGGTTTCTCAACTGGTGGGACGCAAAGGTCCTTTAGGTGGGACTCGGGTTGTGGCAGCAAAACCAGAAGTGCCACAACTGGGACTTCCAGTTTCGCTTTTGTGTGCTTCCATCAGCCGCTGGGGGACTTCCCCCCTGCTCTTCGACTGACCTCTAAGGGGGCCCTTCCCCCTGCTCATTAACCAGTGGGACCAGGATTTTTTGACCTTACATAGGTGGGACATAAGGTGCAAAAGGTTGAGAACCGCTGATCTAGTCCAGTGTTTCTCAACCTCTGATCTGTGACCCAAAAGTGACTCACAAGAATATATGAAAAAGTTGCAAACAAGCTTAAAAAATGGATCAACAAATTTAAAAAATGGATTCTCCTTTAAAGGAGAAAAACATGGGAAACCGTACTTCCCTTGCAAGCTGGCAGACTTGCAGCCTACAAGGGGCTGCTTGAGGCTTCCCATGCCACACCCACCTCCCCCACCCGGCACATTTGGGGGCTGGGCCTGGGAGCAGCAGGTCCGAATGGCCATCAATATTTACAAATGAGTCTTGGTACAATGAGAACCACCGATCTAGTTCAACCTCCCACCTGGAGCAAGATCATCTCTATCCAAACCACCCTATACAAATCCTTTGCCTAATCCTAAAACAAAACCATTGTCTTAATCAGGGCCCAGCCTCAAAAACACCTTCCAGTCCAAGCATGTGAATGAGCAAGATGGTTAAGAGGAGGGGGAGAACCCCTCATCTGGGATTCACTTCAAGGCGTGGTGTAGGGGCATTGCAAGGAGGGAAGGGGGGTGGCTGGTGTGCTACAGTGACTCCCTTAACCACCTCTGTAAGAGCGACACTGTAGCTGCCATGGTCCCGGGATGAGACCAGACGCCAGGGTCACGTCTTCCACTGGCCCAGCTGCACAGTCAGGATTAGGGTGGCCATCACAGAGGACGTTCCAGTTTTCTGCTACTCTGTCCTTTATTGATAAACCCAGCGCCTTTATGGCCTCTATTTTTCTCTTCAAGAGGTGACCCGAGCAGGATGCAGGGCCCGAGGCAAATCAGCCTGTGCGGATCCCTGCCCTGGAAGCAAGGAAGCCGGCGGCAGATTCGGTGGTGGTGGCGGGGGGATGGACAAGCTGCCGGATGCAAAGTCGGTGGCAGCACGGAGTCGCCGCAGCCGCTCCACCCAGCTCTGGGGGCCCCCCAAAGCACAGGCCCTGATTTGTCCCCCCCCCCAGGGACAGCCCTGCATAAAGGCACCCAGTTTTGCATCGACAGAGGACAACCGGACTGTCCTCTAGGAAAGTGCTTCTCAAAGTGGTGGTCCACGGGCTGGTGCCGGTCCGCGAGCCACCAGTCGCTGGTCTGCAGCGAGTTGCCAGGAAAGAAAGAAATATATTTTCAGAAGCATAATAACATTGATATGTCAGAGCTCCACAGTTCGCACGTTCCAACACTCCAGGCAACGTCACGTCGTGCTAGGTGAGGAAAGAGAAAGAAACAGCCAGTCGTGCATTTGTGTAGCGCTGTCACATGCAGTTGCTGCCACCAGCTGAACTGGGCGCTGGCCCCTGGCCCACTGGAAAAAAAACTGCCGGTCCACTACATCAGATAGTTTGAGAAGCACTGCTCTGGGATGGCTGCCCTAGTCGGGATGGAGGCAGGCAAGGCTTTGTCACCTGCCTCTTTCTTGCAGAGTTTCCTTTTACCTTGCGGTCTCTCCCTCGGGCGGCAGAAACAACTCGAGAAAGTTAGAAAGAGAGAGGGCAGGGGGACGCAGCCAGGCCCAGCTCCTCGGGGCTCCCCGGGGGGTCGCGGCCCGCGCCGCGGCGGCGCTTCCCCGCGGGCACAGGGGGGGCCCAGCCATCGCCACTTTAAATGACTCAGGAAGTGGAAGGCGGCGCGGCCCCAGCTGCAGAAGCGAAAGTAGCTGCGGAGCCAGTGCCGGCCA